CGGTTGTTTAGGGGTAGGTGTGAGGCGTAGTGGGGGTTGGGGGTGGTGTCGGCATTATCGGGAATGTGTAGGTTGGGGGGACGGGGGTGTGTTTGGGGTCAAAGCGCGGTTTTGGGGGCCTTAAGGGGTGTGGGGGGGGGTGTTAACGGGGGGTGAATTTTTTTTATTTTTTTTTCCGGTTCGAGTGTTCGGGCACGTAGGCACACGTGTCCGAGGCCCAACGCGTGAATTCCGTTTTTCGGAATTCGATGCGACGCCCCCGTTTTTGCGTTTAACGCGATTCAACGGGGGTCCTCGGACCCATTAAACGGGTGTTCGGGCATTTAACTCGGCCCGTTCTCCGTTAAAAGGATACATAGCGTCCAGCGACGTATCCGAGGCCCAATGCGCCCATCCCGTTGAACAATGTTCAACGGGGAGGGCCCGTTGTACCATTCAACGGGGATTCAACGGGGCCCCAGGGGCTATTCAATGGGTACAACGACATTGAAACTTTTCCGTTGCACGTTGAATGGACACACAGGTTGCCACAATATTCTCCTGGTAGTCGGATTACTCCTTTATTTCTTCCCCACCGCCTCGGGGCACTAAGATAGAGTGTGCGAAACAGGTGACGACTGTCATCCACGGACAACCATACGAACTACACGTGCCAAAATACGTGCCTGACGAAATTCACCAACTGATTGCTGATATCCTTGCCGAATACGGAGATGCCATTAGCATCAATGATGCAGACATCGGATTGTCCCTTCTAATACAACATGAGATTCAGACCGGTACTCACCCGCCGATTCACTGCAAGCCTTACCGGTACTCGCTCGCGGAACGAAAGACAACACTAGAGCGCATCTGCGAGTTCGAAGCCAACGGTTGGATCAAACCTGTAGAGGTCCTTGGTCCTTTCTGGTAGTTTTGGTGCTGAAAAAGAACGGATCGATTCACATATGCATTGATTATTGAAAATTGAATGATATCACGATTAAAGATGTGTACCCCCTCCCTCGGATAGATGATTTGCTGGATGTGATTGGGTGTGCTAATTATTTCAGTAAATTTGGTATTCGGCATGGGTTTCACCAAGTGAGAGAGGAGGACCGACTGAAGACGGCGTTCGTACTATTGGAAGGTATGTGGCAGTGGATTCGTTGTCCTATGGGCATATGCAATGCACCAGGTACTTTTCAAAGAGCGATGAATGTCACTTTTCAGAACTTTGTTAACAAGACCAGGTTGACTTAGAGAATGATAAATTTTTGCGTCTTTATGTACATGGACGACAATCTGGTGTATTCTGAGTCGTTCCATGGACACGCGCAGCATATCGAATGGACACTTTGAGCGTTGTGGGATGCTGACTTCAAGATTGCGTTGGAAAAAAACAAACTTTTCTGCTCCGAGTTCTCGTTCCTTGGGTACGTGGTAACCCGAGGGGGCTTGAGACCGGATTCGAGGAAAGTCGAGGCGGTTCGAGAAGCACCCACGCCTACGTCACTAACACAGGTTCGAGCCTTTCTGGGATTGGCCTCGTATTACCGGCGGTTTATCAAGGGATTCGCGACAATTGCTCGGCCTTTGACGAACCTCCAACGGAAGGACGAACCGCTGAACTGGGACGCGGAGTGTGAACGGGGCTTTTTCACTCTAAAAGAGACCCTGGCCTCGACACCCATTTAATTTCGTCCCGATCGGGAGCGACAGTTCATACTCATCATGGATTGGCAGCCAGAAGCAATCTCCGCTATCCTGGCCCAGAAGGGAAAGGACGGACGGGAGCACGTCATCGAGTATGCTTCACGAACGGTGTCAGACGAGAGGAAGAATGATTTGGTGCCCCAAGGGGAATGTTATGTCGTAGTCTGGGGAATCCAATACTTCCACCCGTATCTCTACGGGCAGAAGTTCCTCCTCGTAATGGATCATGAGCCCCTGCTAGCCCTCAAGAAGCTCACCAACTACACGAGAATGATTTGGCGATGGACAATGAGGCTGCATGAGTATGATTTTGACATCGTCCATCGAAAGACRGAGAARCACGGAAAYGCGGATGGACTGACCTGTCTGCACAGACYAGACAAGGTGCCACGCGGTRAGGAGATCACCYSGWGGAAGGAACCGGAGCAACTCAAGGGACTAGTGTACRGCCAGGTAAAGRTTCTYCCTCGRCAGACGACGAAGTGACATGTGTCCTCATGGCGGCCCAAGGAGAACTTGAGAAGGAAACACTGAGGGCCCTCCCTCCCCTTCTTCTTCCTCCCTTCTTTCCCTACCCGACCGTTTTTGCTTTCTCTGTGAGTCCATCTCGCAAGTCTATTCCGTTTCGATGAAGCCGCAATGTGAGGATTACGTGGAATGGGTAGACTATGCTAAGTGCGTAGCGAGGGCCCACGGGTCATGTATCCAGTATAGGAGTCCCCAAAAGTCATGGCTCTACCTTCTGTGTCGTACCGAAAAGATCCCGACGGAAGTTCGATTCCTTGAGGCGACATCGGAAGGTCTAGAAAAGACTCGACAGTTTAGACGTGCGGAGGTGTGGACAAATGTTGCCCTAATAGCTACAGTTGTCGGGAATTCTCTCCGAGAGTTCTCTAAGGAGGATCGGAGATGAGCCAATGAAAGAGCACGGGATTATAGGTGGAACGGAGGACGGTTAGAAAAGCGAAAAACAGACGGGAGTGAGATCTGGATGTCGGCACCGCACCCGTTCATGAGGTACGATTGGGTGAAGTCTGCCCACGAGGAAACGACAACACATTTCACTGTCAGAACTACTGAGGCAGCATTTGACAAGAATGAGTGGGAGTATGTGGAATTGGTCCAATATAAGGGATGATGTCAAATTTATTGTAAAACATTATCCCGTAGGTGCGGCAGATAAGGCGTCGATTCAGCCACCTAGATCGATAGTCTCACAGTAGTCCAGCGACCATTTCAGAGGGTTAGCATGGACACGACGGAGATTGTCGTGCCCCCTGGACCGAATAGTTGTGAATATTCAATCCTCTTGGTGTTCGTCGATCACTTTTCAAAATGGATCGAGGCGTACCCATGTCGGACAAGACAAACGACATAAATAGCGTGGTATGTCAACCGTTTCCTCGGAGTGCATCAGGATACTAAGGAAATCCTTACAGACAACGTAGCAAAATTCTGAGGGGAAGTTATGGGGAATCTGGTCGTACATGGGGTGTCTATTCGTAATACTGCCCCCCATATGTCACAATCGAACGGCCTCGCACAAAACACCAACCGAGTAATTAAAACGGCGCTTCGACGGAATATCGCAGCCAAGGACACGCGACAGTGGCCCGATATCGTAGATCATATCGTAGGTATATATCGAGGGAGCCCACATGAATCTACGGGGCTATCGCCATTTCAACTACAAACCAACAGCCTACGCTAGCTTGTGTCTCGATATCGAGGCTAAATGACGAAACGACACTTGACCGACGCCCCACGAGAGCGATAGCTAAGGGAAAGGCCAAATGCCATTTGGAATTGATGGAACGGGTCCTTCCGAGATTCGCCTGCAAAAGGCAAAGAATGGCTGAATTGGCCCTCAGCCCACAGGTTCATAGAGGCCCGAAATGGGAATGCAGGCGCCCGACCCGAGTATAAATTGGGGGACATGGTGCAGGTGAGGAAATGTGCTCGCCAAGGGAAATAAGAGCCACGATTCTTTGGGTGCTTTCGGGTGATCGAACTTGGGCCTAACGGTGTGAACACAATGCGCCTCACTTCAGAAGTCTCAGGCAGCCAGTCTGCTAGACCCATAGTCCGCCACGAGTCCTACCTCCGCCATCTCTCCACCTCTTCCTCTCCTTCCCCAATTGGTTCGCACTCGGATTCGGAGTGGGAGAGTGGCGACCCTCATTCCCCTTCTTCTCTCCATTCATCTTCTCCTCCCTGTTCGCGATGAGTTTTTCCACAGAGCAGGTACTTGGTGAGTGCACTGGATGTTAGCACCTTGAGGGCACATCTCATCGATCACGCAGGTTCATCACCCCTGCCTCAAACCGAACGTCATCAGATTCGCGCAGTTCTTCAGCACGGTGACCGTGCATGCGGCAGCAGAGTTCCAAT